TGCTCTGAGGAATTGGTATTTAACGGAATCAACGGAAACAGACATCTATGTTAAAGACGGTATCATTCCTTTTTTTTTTACTTACACCTCTTTTTTTAAATAAGTGGTTAGTGTTTTAGATATGCATTCAATAACCGGATCAATAATTTATATGAAATAGGCAAGTCCGATAAAAAGTATTACTCTTTTCATTTGTAATTGAAAACAAGACCTTCCGTCGTCCTTTCCGACGATGATTTGAAACATTGATTCTGATTTTAACTTTTTAAATTGGTTATTCCGTTCCTTTCCGTTCCGCAAAGTACCAATTGCTCTGAGGAATTGGTATTTAAAGGAATCATCGAAAACAGACATATATGTAAAAGACGGTATGATTCCTTTTCTTTTTTTACTTATACCTCTTTTTTTAAATGAGTGGTAAGTGTTTTAGATATGCATTCAATAACCGGATCAATAATTTGTATGAAATAGGCAAGTTAGACAAAAAGTGTTACTCCTTTCATTCGTAATTATATCTAAGAAGACGAGACATCCCGTCGTCCTTTCCGACGATGATTAATATTGATTGAGATTTTAACTTTTTTAATTTGTTATTCCGTTCCGCAAAGTACCAATTGCTATGAGGAATTGGTATTTAACGGAATCGAACGGAAACAGACATCTGTTATGTAGCAGTATTATAAAAAAAAATTGTCTGACACCTCTTTTTTGCATGAGTGGTAAGCATTTTCAACCAGAACAATAATTATGAATTTAACACAAATGCAGGCTAGACAAAAAGGCTTAATTACTCCTTCCATTCGTAAATATTTCAAAAAAGAGAGGCCTTTCGCCACCCGTTCCGACGATGATTAAAAACACTGATCATTATTTTTCATAGCAAATCACAAACAAATTATTTTTTCAGCAAATATTAAAAACATTTTTTTACACACTACTGTATTTTGTGACATTGTCAAGGAAGTTTTATGACGTATCAAAATATGTTTATGCTATTTCAAAATATCTGTTAAAGTTTAATTTCCATGTGTTAACTTTATTTGATTCATGTACATGTATATACTGTATATATGCCTGTTGTCTTTGATATATCAGTTGACAATCTAGCTGTATATGATCGTCTATATATAAAGTCATAATGATAATATATACATATTTACTGGATACTGTGGATTTATTTATTTTCGTTGGTATCAATTTTCGTGGATTGAGGAAAACTTGCATTTTCGTGGATATTTGATTTCGTGGTTTTGCCAATCCACAGTATATGAAAAAGGATCGATATGGGGCAATGGCACGAAGACATCACCGAATCACCCAATGTATTAGTCCGAGATTACTCTGACGTCCAACGGCTGTTAGACCACGGCCTCAGCTTGTCTGGCAAAACAGCCGTTGGACGTCAGAGTAATCTCGGAACACCAATGTATTAAATGCACAAAAATGCATCCAGAGCTTACCACATAACCTTCAACAGAGCGAGAACTACCAACCAACAGGCAGTCAGCTCTGGATGACACCAACACAATAAAAGCAATCAAATCTATGCACGGCAAAATGGCATAATATCTAACCAAAACTAAAAGATCAAACAAGACAGACCAATAACACATAATTGTTTACCCTAATATAAATATGATCTAATAATTTTAATTGCAAAATTTACTGAATACCTTCTCGTTTATTTTCTCTTTTTTCCCAAAAAGTATACGAAAATGTTTTGCGCATCTTCGTATATAGCAGTGTTTAATTTGATTTTTGATTTTTTGATGTTTTAACGCCACTTTTAAGCACCACTTTTGGGCTATTTCGTGGCGGCCAATTTTTATTGATGGAGGAAGCCGGAGTGCCTGGAGAAAACCACCGACCGTCGAGATTGGAGTCGAGTGTACCCACACGAACTGGGTTCGAACTCAAAACCTCAATGTTGACTTGCTAGTGATTAAAGTAGTAGAACTACTTAGACCACTCGGCAACCAAGCCACCGAGGCCTCTAGCAGCTTTTAAGAAGTTTGTAAACCCTCCCTAGCCTTCCATGCAATAGGGGGTTTCAATACAGTTTGATATAGTCCATTTAGGGACCAGTCATTTTTTTCTATAAGAGAAGACGAGAGGCAAAAATAAAAATTTGAAGACATACAAATTCAACACCTTTACATTTTTTAAATACATTGTTTAATGTTGAATAATATTATCATTTTCAATAAAGCATGCATTGTATCAGTAGAAGATAATGAACTTCAGGGTGGAGTGGAGGTTGTGATATCATGAAACTTTTTCTGATATGCTTTGCTAGTGTGATCTCATTTACATGTACCAACTTACTCCAATTAAGCACAATTTTTGGTCTCATTACCTATTCTATATGAAAGTGTTGTTAGTTTTGTCACTGCCGATCGAAGCGAGGCACATTTATTTCACACATTTTGCTATATCAAAATGGGTAAACAAACAGTTAACAGTGAACTGACCATTAAAACAGCTAACATGGGTATTTTTTTCAAATAACAGTTAACAATAATGACAATTTTAAGATAACAGCTTTAACTAGTTAATGACAGTTAACAGCACATATTTAAAAAAAAAATTATATTATTTTCTTTTACATAGATATCCTTAGAGCAATTGGTACTTTGCGGAACGGAACGGAACGAAACGGAATAAAAAATTTAAAAAGTTAAAATCAGAATCAATATTTATCATCATCGGAAAGGACGACGGGAGGTCTTGTCTTCTTTAAAAATAATTACGAATGAAAAGAGTAACACTTTTTGTCTGACTTGCCTATTTCATATATATTATTGATTCGGTTATTGAATGCATATCTAAAACACCTACCACTCATTTAAAAAAGAGGTGTAAGACAAAAAAAATGAAGCATGCCGTCTTTTACATAGATGTCTGTTTCCGTTGATTCCGTTAAATACCAATTCCTCAGAGCAATTGGTACTTTGCGGAACGGAATAACAAATTTAGAAAGTTAAAATCAGAATCAATGTTTTTAATCATCGTCGGAAAGGACGACGGGAGGTCTGTCTTCTTAGATATCATAATGAATGAAAGGAGTAAGACTTTTTGTTTGATGCCTATTTCATATACATTATTGATTCGATTATTGAATGAGGTGTAAGGTAGCAATACACAGTTAGGAAAAAATCTTAAAATTGACACTCATAATTTTTAACCACCCTCTTTTCCTTCCTATCTAATAAATAAGGCTTACTATTTGTGTTGCATGTGTATATTTCTGGAAAGAGCATCTTCCATAGATTCCATTTTCAATAGTTAAAATGGTGAAATATAATCTCTTTTTGGTGTAACCATGGCAACAATCTGCATTTATTTGATACAAAATATTGAAAAAAGGGGGGTGAAAATGTCACAAAAGTCTCCAAAATTTGGTCCAAAGGAAAATTTCAATCAACTAGAGTGATACCTTTCCTGAAACCATAGACATTTATCTATCAAGAGGTCCAAAAAAAATCACATGCCTTTCTGCTCGTTTTTCCATAAAATTGAATTGAGATGGCCCGAGCGTCAAATCTTTGTTGATAAACGGTAAGCGGAATGATTAAACACTACAATAATTTCTGGACCTATGGGCGGTACGAATAGGAAAATACGGACTGTCAAACAGAAAAATGGCCAATAAAACATGCTAAAAACCATCTTAATGTTCATGTAAACCCACTTCGAAGGCTATATTATTCTTCAACCATCTAAAAATCAATTTTATTGTACAAAAACTTTCATATTTAAAAAATTCACATGGCCATAATGCGAAACTAAACTTCTAACTGTGTATTGCTACCTAAGACAAAAAAAAAATGAATCATACCGTCTTTTACATAGATGTCTGTTTCCGTTTATTCCGTTAAATACCAATTCCTCACAGCAATTGGTACTTTGCGGAACGGAACGGAACGGAATAACAAATTTAAAAAGTTAAAATCAGAATCAATGTTTCTAATCATCGCTGGAAAGGACGACGGGAGGTCTGTCTTCTTAGATATGATAATGAATGAAAGGAGTAAGACTTTTTTCTCTGACCTGCCAATGCGTCAAATTTATGATAATTTATAATCAGGACATGAATGTACATCTACAGGATATTTCCCGATGTTATACATTATTACACATTTTACATATGAAGATGAGATTCAGTATACAATTGTGTTATCTGTACAGTATATTGAAAACAGTAAACAGCAAAATTTAAAGTTTGTTTTGTTTTGAAGATTTTTCGAAATTTTGATAGCTGCCCCCTATGGATACCTTAAATGAAATTCCGTTCCGTTCCGTAAAGTACCAATAGCCGTTGAAAGGATCGATAAGTTTACACGGATCATTATCTATTTTTGGGCTCTATAGACAACATCACCGTAAAAATTAACGAAATTATTTATTCAGAAACAGATTTCAAATATAAACCTTTTCGAGTGCGTTGAAGAGAAATGAAGATCTAAATTTCAATGATCATATTATCTATATAATTTTACACAATATTAACGACAAATAATATATAAATCTCGATTTCCTCTTCTTTTTTTTATCTGTTTAAAGATTTTCTCTTTCCTTGATTGTTAAAAAACTGGTTAAAGTTTTAAAAACTACGAAGTAAGGTCGATAAACTATAGATAAGGAATCATCTGTCAATTTTGATGATTATATAATAGATTTTGACCCTCTAAGACTTTGACTCGTTTGATTTTCCCAATCGACTACAGTTTTCAAGATATTAGATAATTATTCGCATTATACCGTAATGTTCTATTTCTGTTCTGGGGGATTGGTTGACGGAGATGTGAAAAGTAAACATTTAAATATGCAGAAAAAAAAGTCATTATAATTATTAAGGCAAATTTTGGTGGAATTTAGTGTTGTGGTTAGAGAAGCAGATTTTGGAAAAATTTTACGGCGGATGCAAAGTGATGGCAAAAGTCCACAAGGTCCAAATATACAAGGTTTCGAAAAGAGAGATAGGAAAAAAAATTAAAAAATTAACATTTCAAATTGGTTCAAATCATTTACCACTGTGACAAAGACTGAATGGTTGAAACAAACGTCAACATTTAACATTGATTTGGACAGATGTAATGTTATGCATTATAAATAACAATTTGCTGCCTGTTTCTTAATACTGTGAATAAGTAAGGTATTATTTATAACTTTAATATTTACATTGGACCTAGTAATCCCCGATTTTGATGGATTGTTTTGCGTGTTTTACAGTTTTTTCCCAACAATAAAAATATTCTTTACAATACATTTTTGTTTAATCCTTATGGAAATATGTCTCCAATAGTTTAGCTCCAGCTGATACACAAAACCCAAGAAAAGTAATCAATACTTTGATCATGTTGTGATGTTCGTTGAATTCTCGTTGAAGAATTTCAAAAAATGTCACATATAAAAACGATCCTGTAGCAATACATTCTAAAATTACAGAAACAATATTTTCTGTTGACGATAAATCGTTTACCAGAACTCCAATTACAATACCAAGTGGAGTAACCAACGAGAAGAAAAACAAACATAACATAATTTGCTTCATTTTTTTCATGACATCATTGAGTTGGAGACCGACGCTTGCTGCCATAATACATTTGTGAACGGAGATAACAATCAGTAGAGTCCATACTGCTGGAACGGTGTCCTGAAGGCCCAAAGCAAGACCTTCAAATACCATATGAAGAGAAAGGGCAATAATTAATACTGTGATTCGAAAGACGGACACTTTACCCTCTTCAGAACCGTTTTCGGTCCCATCAATGTCTTCGTATTCGTGTTCACTAAAACTTCTTCCAGTAAAACTTGAAACACGGCCATCATCAATGACTTCAGTAGATTCAGTTATTTGCGGTTGATCTACAGATTTTATGTAGACACCATGAGTGTTCATATCTGAAATACTGCTTGTTAACTCTGCAACAGAAAACGTCTCACTATCATTTGAAGAATAAGCACAATTTGTTTGACTTAAATGTCCATTGATAGGAAGTTGTTCAGGATTTCTGGCTGGAGTATTAGGTTTCGGCGAAGTTTTTAGTTCACTTATTTCATATTCATTCTCTTTCAGTTTGCCCTCATTGAATAGTTTATTTTTGTCTTCCAACAAAGATGTACCATTGCAAAATGTGAAACATAATCCAAATAAATGTTCTAACAATAAAACGAGAAAAAATCCGGCAGATATCAAAATTTCAGCAATTGGGTATTTCATATCTATTCCTAACTTTATCTCCGCTATCGATTCTGGCATCAAATGAAGGAAAGTAGTTCCAAAGAATACCCCACCGGCAAAACAGTTCATCCAGCCTATGTACTTCTGATGTGATCTAGAATTTGGCATTCGCCTTTTCATTAACCGAACAATTCCACATGACAGTACTCCGAAGAAAAATGTTACTATAAACAGAGTGCAGCACGAAACTATCTTCGGTATCAGTGCCATTGTTTACTAAAACTATTCTCAAAATACAACGAACTTCATCTTATATCCGGTTTTGTCGAAATTTTCATGGACGAAATTGTGTATTGCATATGACGTGATGTTTTCCAATGTGACTTTTATATTTCTTTTAAAACTTGACACATTTTGATGAATGTTATGAACGTTTATAGCCTAGGGATTACAAACCATAGTAATTAATAATTCGATAGGTATTACACGTTCCTGGTAGCATTTGTGTATTGACCGAATTGACTGATCATCGAACAGTATGCAATGAAAATGTTACGTAATATTATCACTAAGAAACTAGCAGTTGATACCAAAAATGCAGTAAATTGTACTTCAGGATATCCTTTATCAGGTTTTCTACAATAAAAATTGAAGAGTGAAAACATAAAGTACTTTTTTTAAAGTTTTGGAAAAGCTTCAAACTTTTGATACGTATGATGTCATTACTTTTTGGGTTGAAATTGGTTCACACGGCGGTGACAGGTCCGTTTATTTCCATGGAATAAGGCCTTTGGGAAAAGGTACAGATATTTGTAGACATTTATCATCCTCGTTTTATACGTGAACAGAAATCGTGTATGCAGGGAATAAATCTAGTAATGGAAATAGGTATTGCATGTAATAGACAAATAAAGATTTTATCATGTATAAATGGACGAAATATCGAACACAATAGTATCTATACGCAACGTATTTTCTTTGAACTCACGATCTTTTTTTTTTATAAATATGAATTTATAACTCTTTCTCCACGCTAGATTTTCAGAAATAAATGTATTTGTATATTTCAAAATATATAGACTTAAGAAACGTTGGGTAACACTAATTTCAGTAACCAAACAAATAAAAGTTAACCAATACTAGCATTTAGAGGTGGTCTACTGAGGCCTCCAACGATGGACATGCGGTCGCACAGCACATCAGTTATGAATTGCCTCGAGTCTACACACGTCGCTAGTAACAGCAACATGATCGTGACTTGCCACAAGCACATATAATATGTACCTTTGACGGGATTTAACTAGTTTTGAAATACTGAGCCCATTTCCTGTTATCCTGACAAAAGATAATAAAAGTAGACAATAAAAATATCAGCTAAAAAAAAAACCCAAAATGAATATTTGAGGTTTTAAATTCCTAAGGCAACGTTGGTCGTAAATGAATTTGGCTATTCTTTTTTTAATTCCTTTTAGTCATATATATATATATACAAGTCTAAATTGAAAACAACGTTCAAACCTATGATTGCGTTGGATAAAAACCGCAATTTTTATACGTGTGCATGCAAAACAAATTTCTTGGTAGAGGGGTCTAAATACAGCACAAACAACATTTTCCAAAAGACCAAATGAGTGAAAAAGTATATTTCAACAAAACGCATTTGACTAGCAGGTCGAACAACTGATGTTCTTAAACCCTGCTGACTGCCATTGGCGATTGCCAAATAAACGGATCACAAGATGTAACAAAATAGATCTTATTATTAATTTATTACCAAACAAAAAATAATAAACTCGCGGAAAAGATGGTATACCGCAAACATGAGTTGCAAAAATTTGTACACCATATCCGGATTTCGACAATTAATGTCTCTTCAGTGATGTTAGGAATCGAAACGGTATTTGGAAGGCCATATAATTTACTTCAATTTAGATATACTCTTAAATGTTGAAAGAATCAAAATAGGATGAACGGATCATATAAACCCGAAGGCAAATATAATACAAGCCCAAACGAAAATATATATATATATATTCCTGAAGTTTCTACATACTAGTATTTATACATTCCTGGATTTCAAAGTTTGAGGGTTTCTGATAAAGGTAAATCAAGAAAAAGCCACTTCTTGTTTACTTTACCCACATCAATTTTTTATCGTTATATTCAACAGCAACGTGTAAGTCTGAATCACATTTTGATAATGTGGATATTAGTAAAATCTAAATGTTTGAATAATGTTTACACTATAATGTGATTCCGGTAGTTAAGTATGCATGGTATATGGGATCCATGATTTGAGATGAGTTGGAACTCAACACTAATAGAAGACGAATTTTCAAATATAAACTTTATGGTTCGGAAATAATTAATATTATATAGATCACTTGCATATACCATTTTAGTCTAAAAGGTTCGGTTAATACGCTTTCTACTGTGCTTGACGATTTCGAGGGTACAAGGTCTTTGGAGCCATTGGACTTACCCTTTTAACCTCTACGTTTGTCCTACGCTGTATTTGTCTTTTAGGTTTTGCTAAGAATTGCAGAAAATGTCGTCAAACTTACGGTGACCAATAATTGCTTACAAATAAAAATATCTGTACCCCTAAATGCAGGTTAATCCCTTTCAGAGTACAATTACAAAAAAATGGCAGGTGTTTCCCCAGACCTAGCCGCACCTGGCTGGCCAGGGTTCAATTGACCTATCATGCTGCAGTTTTGTGATATTAGCACCACTATTGAACCTCAAAATGCAGAAAAATGCCTTTAAGGGCTTATTTCCTTGACCCAGATATACCTGGTTTGTCAAGGGAAATAAATCCAATAAAACGTTGCACCTCTTAAGCTTCTATAATGCAACAATTTTCCTATTGGAACATAACTAAAATTAATTTTAAAGGGTATATTCATGCCTTTATCTACGGTTATTCATCAATTCACATCCGACTCGGTGATTCCGGGGTAGCGAGCTCGCCTTGAATGCTGGAGTTCATGGTTCTGATTCCCGGCAGGGTCAAACCAAAGATTTGAAAATTGGTATTTGCTTCCTATCCGCAAAGCATGCATTATTTACTAGTCAAGGCAAAGACTTCTTCTCGAAGGGCGTAGGGAGACTTTTGTACGTCGTAACGCATTATTACTTACAGTTCTTTTTGTCGGTAAACTTTCCTTGACATTAGCTGACGTTGGACGATCGAAGAATGAAATAGTTACAGGAAATATCTCCAAAATGATTTCTGGTTGACATAGTAACAGGCTCCATCAAGTTTCTTATTAGTCATTAGGCTTATTCATTTGTCAACATTGTATTTCCTAAATAAATAAAACTGATTTGATTTGATTATGATTATCTCTCTGATTTTTTCATCAAACAGTATCAACTGGAGTCATGCAATACACAAGTTCCATGCAAATTAAACATGGGATCAAAGGAATGCGTATTAATGATTTTACGCTATACTGTCATCCGGGTCATTCTTATTCCCAACATCCATAGGAACAATCATCACTTCCCAGTGTCAGAACAATCTTGACGATAGTTTACACGCGATAGAAAAAGATAAGAAACTGGAGTGTAATTTGGTATCAACAGAAACGTATCTATGTACAAATTTGCCCTTATGTTGCATACAACATCATTTTCCTTTTTTAAGCTTTAAACGTAAAATCGTTATAAACGTCCTCAAATTATGTAAAAATCCATATTTTTTTTAAAACCAATTTATTAAAGATTTTTCTTATGAACATGAGAGGTTGTTGTCAGATTAAATTCAATTTTAACGATACATAAAAGAAAAGGTTACAATGTCTCCCGTCGTATTTTACATTTGATGGAATAAACAGGTACCTGATTACTGCAAAGAAACTTGAAGAAAGGAATTGTTTTTGCAATTAAGTGTCTGTGAATCAAGCTATCCACCCTATGTAAGTAAATCTGCACAGAAAGATTCATCATGATCGTCTTCTTATTTTAAGCATGAGTAGTCTCACAATCAATTTTTCACATTACTTACATTTCCAAGAGCCGTACTAACCCATAAAAATTTCAATCAGCATTATTTTTCCATGAGATATTGTGTATATGTTGTGTACTAGATGCAAGTTTGTAAATTTATAATTTGTACAGGGTTTTTGTACAAGTTTTAAGTTTTTTGACACATACCTTTTAGCACCAGGTGATAAAAGTTTATCTTCTAAACTTTATCAGCTTAATGTCTTAAATTCAAATTTATGTACTTCAACCTAATATTTAGTGCTATTCTCCTTGTCCTAAAACTGGAAATAAGGACACCTGAATGGTTAAAATTCTATTTTTCTTTATACCAAAATCATATCCATAAAATGTCTTTTTGTGTTCTTATAATGTTTTTTGTAACAATGCTCAGTATTAGACTATATCATGTAGTCATGGAAATATGATAGAAATATGCGAAACAAAAGACTGTGTACTTGTCTTCATCTATTTGTGTTAAGTGGTTCATAAAACACTGATAACTTGTACAAAAATTCTGTGCAAATTATAATTTGTACAACATTACAATTAGTAAACAACATATACAAATCTTGCATATCTGTTTTATTGTATTAAACTGTATTTACTAGATTGTTTTGAATTGTATGAAATATATTAATGAATTACTGAATTGTACTATGTGATGAATTTTATAATATTCATTGCATGTACTGAATACCTTTAAGCTGTATCGATTTTTAAAACAAAGACTATATATATTATCACAATCCACTAAACATTTCTCGAGTAAAAGTAACTACCTGGCTTTATTTTACATTTATGTTTCGAAGTGAACTACGTGCAGAACGCCACATGCAATAGCAACGTATAACATAGGTGGTATTATGACAGTAATCAGTTTATTTCGTGCAATATAGTATATGGCATCAACAATCATTACAAAAGAAATATCTACACTACACTGTTCCTTGAATCGATCGGTTTTTTTTCGCTTTAAAGTCGCCATCCCGTAGCATACATTGTCAACATCCCCGTATGTGGCGTTGTACACGTGATGAAATCAGACCTGGGGTCAATTACATGCCAAAGTAATTAATTACATTACAATTGCATTGATTTTTTTATATAATTAATTACATCACAATTACATTGATTTTCAAATGTAATTAATTACATTACAATTACATTGCCAATGTAATTAATTACATTTCAATTTCTTTTGTTTAAAGACATGCAAGAGCTATATCATTTTGAATAAAATCATAGAAATGACAACAGGCTAAAATAGAACGAATCTTTTGAATACACATGCACTTTATAACAGTGAAAACATTTGTACAAGATTATTTTTAAGTTTTCAAATTTCGAATGTCGTTGTTACAATTAATCACCATTAGACTTGAAA